TCTAATAAATTCACAGATTAATAATAAAATCCCACCTGAAATACTAGTGTCAGGGAGGTGAAATTTGACTACTGGGGGGGTGTGTGTGTGTGTGTCGGGGGGGGGGGGGGGGGGGGGGGGGGTGATCGCAGGCACCAGCTGTCCCCCCACGGTGGGACGGCGCTTGTCTGAGCAGGAAGGACACCGGAACACTCTGCAGCCTCGCTGTAATTTGCCTCGCGAGCCCCATCAGATGGATGTCGAGATCATCCGAAAAGCTCGCATCTTCACCCCCCCCCCCCCCCCCCACACTCAAGCACCATGTCCTCTCTGCAGCTGGCCTAGACGGAGGCGCCAAACGGCGCGCGATTAACCAAATCTCTCCAAATAACAAGTCAAAAAAGAAAAGGACCAAACATCGGATGGCAAACCTCTGCCACCTGCTGACCGGGACGGGAGCTGATCTGCACCTCTGAGGTCACCTGGTTTGCTCTCCCCGGAAAAAAAAATCGCTCCCCGCCTCGTTCAGCGATCCGGCACAGCAGGCGAAATAAACAACGGAAAAATAAAAGTGACCTTTCAGGCCGGGCACTGATCAGCACACAGATGGCTCGGGGAAATGCCACGCAGAGCCGTCTGCGGTAAACGGACCGCCGGACGGGACGGGACGACACGAGCGCACTGCGATCCGGAGGGAACCGCCACTGGCAGTGTCTACGGGCGACACTGGAGCAAAATCAAGGCCTCTGGTGCCAACCTTTGCAAGAAATCTGGATACATCACACATAAGTAATTAATAAAATAATGCTTTTATCTAGTTGATCACAGTCTGGGGTGATGTAACTAGGCTCCTACAGCTCAACAAGTACAGTACTGCACTAACAACCCAGAGCTCATGGGTCCAAATCCCAGGCAGCACATATAAAGTAGTGACCCTTCCATCTACTGTAAGTTGCTATGGATAAAACCATATTTTCTCTGCTCCTTTAAAATGAACCTGAGCTGTCCGTGTAATAAGTTTGCATCTTGCATTAGCGCATTGGCTTGGGACACAAAACCACATTGCAGGGTAACAGCTCTTCTGCTATTTCAGCTCAAACAACAACTTTGTGAAAACAGAACATAAACACTTGATCTAATTCAATGTCTAATTGCTATGTTCCTCACTAATATGTGGTGCAATGCCACTCAGTGGCAATTTAGTAACACAAGCAGAATGTGATGAATGATCTGCCCTGAAAAGACACATTCTGCACGGATTGATGCTGATTATCACGGCATCCTCACAACCGCTTAACCATGGCGATTAACTTTACGGCCGGCAAAGGTGCATCCGCCGATGGCTCCCATACCGGGGTGTTGCCGCACCCCCTGTAAAACCACACTGCTAAATTCCGCTCATGCTTGCATGCGCTCCCTGCAAATCTGTCTGCATTATGCGACTCTGCAGCTGCCACTTAATAAAAAGGCCAAAAACGGGTAAATATTTAAGCCGGAAAAGATTCTCAGGCTGGCACAGATTTCATCTTCTTGTGAACTGATCTAAAGCTGAGTTTTTTTGAGTAATTATTAATAGTTTTACTTCGTCAGCATGTGCATGGTTAGCATTTTGCATTTTCACATTGGGTACTAGTGTAGGGTCCTTCCTGGGACAACAACGTTCAGCCACTACACTCCTCTCTTACAGATTTCTAGGGGTGGGGGGGGGGGGCATTTCATTCGGGAGATCCAGAAGCTTCTATGGGTCCAGTGTGTGTGTGTGTATGTGTGGGGGGGGGGGTTTCCTCTCACCCTCAGACAGACAGATGGAGACCACATCGTTGCTTTCGCCGTCCTCCCCCGGCTCAGGGACGCTGACATCGTCATCCTCGGGGGTCATGGAGCGGGGTGACTCCATGCTCGACTGCTTCGTGAAAACGGCGGGGCCGCTCGTGGGGGTCGGGATCTCAATACCCATCAGGCGATACTTCCTACGTCGATTTCCAATCCATGTCTGCACGTAAGGAAGAGCACAGATCCTGCAACAGGCCACTACAGCCAAGCTGGGAAAGAGGTCGATTCTGTGTGTGACAAACATCATACCTCTACACTAAAAGAGCCAAACAGACCATGACATTTATTATTTGTTTGGTCAGGCTTTTCAGAGGGCAACCCACGGGGCCTTGACAAACCTTGATGATCTCACTGTCGACGCTGAGTTCCGTGGCCGCTGCGGAGATCTTCTCGCGACACACGGAGCCCAGGCTGGTCATGCCATTGTCCCAGTACCTCTTCAGAGTGTGCACATCCCTGTCACTGAACTGCGTCCTGTCCTGCAGCTGCGTACACAGACACCCCTTCTTCTTAAAATCAAAAGTGCGTCACACACGCCGTTCCGCTACCCCTCCCAAGACACCCCTTCCTCCCGTGTTTCCATTCTGTGCTTATCGCACCGGGCGGTTCCTGACGTCAGGCCCCTCACTTGGGCACAGAGCAATCTTGAACACCGGAACCAGAAGAGCCCCATGAGGAGCCACAGGGGCGCTGGCCTCCTTACCGCCCCCGTTATCGCCGTTCTATTAACATGGATTGGATCTCGGGGAGCTCGGAACCCGATTAGCATGCCCCCCCCCCAATAGGAACACACAGCTGAGGAGTTTGCGTAATCAGATGGAGAAGTGGTCCTTTCAGTCTGGTGGGGGAAGGGATTTTTCAGTAATCAGGACACACGCAAGTCGCTCAAAAAAAAAATATATATATATATAAGCTTGCACATTCCTGTTCTAATATGTCATCAGCCAATTAAACATAACTGGACTGAAAAAATGATGCAAATAAATACTGTGTGTTTATCCATCTTATGTAACTGTTTATCCAGGACAAGGTGAGTCTGGAAATTAACCAAGGATGCACAGGGCGCCCCTCCATTGCAAGTGGGGGGCATAAGAGGGGCCATAATTCATGCAGAGGGGCCAACCTTATTAGCCAATGATGTGTTTTGAATAAGTGAGTGACAGGGGAGGGGCCCCCAGCAGCCAATCAGCTTTCAGCGGGGGCCCCATATGGCTCTGACACTGTATACGCCCCTGGACATCATGCACAGAAATGTGGGCAAGAATCAGTCTGCCATCGCTGCAGATGTGAGGGTAAACTGTATCATGTGGGATACCCGCGATATTTCTAGAACAATCCGCCCATGTGCAGCAGGTAACATATCCTTCTTAGATGCATGCCTGATTCGCAGAGCAAACTCTGGATACGCCCTGCCCTCTGTCTGAATTAACGGTCACCAGACACCCCCCCCCAACACGTCATGCTTACGGTCGGCAGGCCTGGCATGGCCGCCGGCGTCACGTGACACTTACTGTCCGTTTGCGAGAGTTGCTGGTAATCCAGGGAGCAGACAAGTTACCCGACACCTGCAACGGGAAAGGAAAAGGAGACTCAACCAGGTGTGACTCTAACCCCTGCCTGGTCTTCCGCTTGTATTCTAGTGACCTGGAATCCTGCTAGCCACCAAATTTACTCTACAGACCAACAAGATTCTTATAAACACCCAGAACTAAGGCTGGGGCTCTTGCTCCACCCCTAACCACAGATCCCCAGACCTTACCTGGAGGTTGGACACGCGCTTTGGCGACCCCTGCTGGTGAATCCCGACAGGGTAGCTGCCTCTAGCACCTGTGTTGCTAAGGAAGAAGCTCAATCTTGGAGGACAGTGAGACGACATAGGCTGGCTCTGATAACCTTTCGCGCCGAAAGGGTCAGAACCAAGCATCTTGACAGCGGCTGGATTCCTCCCAGTAGGTGGCGTCCCGGGACTGTCCATTCGCGGATATGCTGTGGCCCCATAGTTCACAGTGCTGCCGCTGCCTCCCACTGCCGAACATGTCTGCAGCTGTGCCCCCATGCTGGCCAGCTCCTCCTCACGGGCGTACTCGTCATCAGCATCCGCCGTTTCCATGGCAATGGAAAAGCAGCCCGAGCCGTCAGGAGGGCGCGTCTTCGACGGCCCCTTGGGCGGCCCACTCTCTGGCGCCCCCCTGTGGTGTCCTTCGCTCAGTGTGGCCAGGGAGAAGACCTGCTGGACCCTGACACCTGACTCCGGTGTGCAGGGCTGGGTGTGCGGTGACGCGTTCGACGACGAGCCGGCAGGCTGAGGGTGCGAGAGGAAGGGCCAGGGTTGGGGTGGGTTGTACTGCCTGGCCCAGGTACGATGCACGGCCACAGCATCGCCTGCAGGGAACGGCTTCCGGACCTGGATCGATGGGCCGCAGGCGCCGCTGGGCTGGGGCACCCTGCGAGGGAGAGCCGACGGCCTCACGTTGAGCGCCACGCCGTCAATCTGCTGGGGAGGGCGGGGGTGAGCCGGCGTGGGGGGATCCACCTTGGCCTGGGGCGAGGGTTCTGTGCGGCTTGAGCCAAGGGGGCGGGCCAGCGAGTAGATCCCCGTCACGATCACATCGCTGTTGCTGCCGTTGCCGTTTCCCATGCCGCTGCCATGTGAAGAGCAAGAGGAGGGTGAGGAAGACGACGTGGTTGCCGGAGACGCCGCCGGTGTCATCAGGAGATGCGTCCCTCGCTGGGCGGCGTGAGGACCCCCCATCTCCGGCGTCAGCTGGGCCCCGGACGCCGCTGGCACCGCACCGCCGCAGCTCCCCACCGTCCCATGGCTGGCGACACCCCCATTCTGGTCCACCTTGGACGCCAGCTTCCGCCTTTTGTTCCCAACCCACGTCTGGAAGAACATGGGAGATGGAAGGTTACACCACAACTGGCACTGTCTCGGACCTACAGCTTTGCAGGGACCAGACTCTCAGTACATGGGTAGTACGGCATGGGGTCTGTACCAGCAGACCATGTGACTGACGGTGGGTGACGGTGAATACTAGATCAGAAGCTTCCGATCACATATACTGGCCTATTACAACACTTTATATCAGCCCTATGGCTGAGTTGTTTTTTAAAACAAGATGCCACCCATCCACCTTCTAAACTCATCTAACAGAGGGTCGAGGTGGTCTTGAAGCCCCGCAAAAGAATGCACAAGACACAAGATAAGAGAACACCGTGGATGGGATGGTTGTCCTTCCCAAGACATGCACTGGCACCAATTCACCCAACTGCATATCTCTGGACCGTTAAGAACCGCAAAAGCACACAAGGAGAACCTGAACTCCACACACAGAGAGCAGGGGCAGGACCTGAACCCCCGGGCCTGATGATGTGCAGCTACAGCTCCACCCACCAAGCCCAGAAGCTGCCTCTGGAAGTAAAGTGTAATTAATTTCAGGAGGTGAGGGCACGGTGTGCCCCGTCTCAGCCCCCCGTCTGGGGGCAGACATACGACCCTACCTAGACCTCTGCTAAGCCGTGCTCATTTCTCATCCTCTGGCTCACTGCCGAGGCACCCCCCACCTACCCTGACCACGCTGAAGTCCAGCTTGGTTTCCTGGGCACACTGCAGAATGAGCTGGAAGCAGCTCTTGCTCTGATTGGTCATCCCGTTCTCATAGTAGCGCTCCAGGATTCGCTGCTGCTCGGCCGTAAAGACAGAGCGCAGGTTCATCTGAGGGGGACAGGTGTGAATCAGCGATGAACTTTTACCTTTCGCCGATGCAAACAGGTTACCCACAAACAGCTACATCTTCCTTGACCCACCTGCCACAATCTCTATTTAATCAGTCTTGCTGGCAAATACAAAATCCAGTTCAACCAAACCCAGCTTGAGTAACATTTACATTACAACAATTTTCTGTGACAGTTTTACCCAAACCAACTTATAGTTGAGGGGTTAGAATTTTCTGTACTCCCCAGGATTTGATCTCACAACCTGTGCATTGTTTGCACAACACTCTACTTGTTGAGCTATGTATACCTAATGCAACTGCCCCCCTTTGGCTCAGCTGTAGCTGTTTAACTTAAACATCTTTAGGATTCACTCACAGTTTGGACAAGCCTCTTCTCCTGCCAAGACTCCTTACTCCCCGGGGTCATGTAGGAGTGCATTAGGTGACTCCCCTCTTCACGAAAGGTCAGGCTGTGTGGGGCGAGCCCCCCAGGGCGAGACTGTCCCGGGAGGGGCTCCAGTTTTGTGGTGTCCATTTTGCCTAACTCTTCATCTGGTGCGAGGGCTGCCGATTCCATCATCGCACCTCGAAGCACCGGCGCCCGGGCCGCGTGGCATCCCCCAGCCCGCAGCTGTTCTTGTTTGTTCGCTGGCTTTGGGGGGGGGGGGGGGGCAGGAAGGGAGGTCAGGAAAGTTCTGGAAAACAAGCAGATGTGACCTCAAAGCAACAGCATCAACTTGGAGAAAACAGCGCCCTTTTCAGTGACTGAACTATACACTGAAACACAAAAATGAAATAAAAACTTAAATCATTGTTGATGTTAAAACTCATAAGGCTGAATACAGATAAATACTCAACGATTGCCTCGGAGACACTACACTACCTGAAGGCCACTGGGAATGTACAGGCAAGGGGGTGTAAAATTCCAACAAGCAAATGTTAGATTCCCAAAGCGAGTGGCGATTTTACACCGTAATTCATCATTCAGGATATGAAAGACTCTCTGTTCTTCTTCAAGTCGCTTCATGCTCATCAAAAGAGGTCTACAGTTATACAGTTTTTTAAGTGTGGGAATTATTAACGCAACCCCAATTTCCTAGTGAAAATAACACTAATCCAACTGTATATCATAACTCAAAAGGGAGGATCTGAGGTCACACGCCAGCATATCCAATAATAATAAATGATACTTTTATTGATCCCTGTGGGGAAAATATCTTTATGCCTCCCTCAACTTGCTCTTTGTAAAGTAAGCTGTCTGCGAAGGGCAACCACCTGCTGGGGTGCCCAGGGAGCTGGAGGTTAAGGGCCTTGCTTGAAGACCCACAGTCAGACTGAGGCTGGGCTTGAACTGGTGACCTTCTGATTACAGGCACACAGACTTAGCCCACTGAGCCACACACTGTCCCAATGTCTACCAAACAGTTTATACCGTAATATTAATAACAAATGCCGGGCTTTTGGTCAAATGGCATTAATTTATAAGGCAGTAAATATATATAAATATCATCAGCGGAGATATCCTGGCATTACATTAGTTGTACGAGTACCACTTCAAAATTAAATTAAAACTGTTAAGTTGCTACATTTCACTACTATTATGATTTACCCGGAACCTTAAGAACGAAATCACAAAATATCCAGCAACCGGTATATGATATCGCGTCGGCTGCTAACCTTAGCTAGTTATAGGGGGATTGCAAGCTAGGTAGCAGCTCCATTGCTGTTGAAGAATAAAGTATCTCTGCACCTTAATCATGCAAAAAGAAGCGTGTAATAAACCTAAAGGGTATGGTCGAATACAATAGAAATAAGCAAGCTTTTGTTAGTTTATTTTTGCTGTGAAGAAAGAGAGAGGCGCTCTAAGGGTTACTGCCGTCCCCTTCTCCGATCCGGGGGGAGGTTCAGTGCGCATGGCCGCTGAATATAATATTGATTGCATTCGCTTAAAAAAAAAAGAAAAAACGGAGCAGCGCAGATGAAGGAAACGCACAGCCCATCCAGCTCGCCGCAAGGGCGAATTGGACGCCGAGACGGAACGACGGCGATCGGGAGACGCTCGGCAACTTCCCGGCGCACAGAAATGTACGTAGGGGTAGGCGGCACGTCGCAAACACCGAAGGCAAAAGCGAGGGCTGGCAAGCAGGGAGCGGATCCTGCTCGCAATCCAGGCCCCGGAGGCCATGCGCCCGCATATAAACCAGTCAAACTTTTTCTGCTAAATACCTCTTGTTGTTACCCGACCCGCTCCGATATGTAACATATATAACTCGGATTTTCCGGAAAGCGCCTGACCGAAACCCGGCAAAGCTAGGAAGTAAATGGATTCGTTAGATACCTTTTTTTAGCTGACAATTCAAACGAACGCTCGAATTCAGCTGATTTCTTCCGACTCCCTCCGCCAGACAATGAAATCAAAACGTCCGATCATCAATTCTAATCATGATTGTGACGTAGCGGCAGACAGGAGCCAATGGGCGCCCGAGATCAGGGCCGTGACAGCTGCAGCTGACTGAAAACTGAGCGCCGTTGTCCCGCCCCTCGCTGACTTTGTGGTGTGGAGTACGAGGGAGGGAAGAGGGAGGTCAGGCGGACCACAAAGCGGCTCGGTTTTGTTTCCGCACCCTGATGACACGCCGCTTCGTCCGTTATCGATTCATCTCATCGAATCCTATTCGACGTTTTGGCTCCCGTTCACAAGTTGTGCGGAGGACATGAAAATGATCATAGCTGCATATTGTAGATCCTTTTTTATATATATACCTGGCGCTTTTAAATCTGCTTGATGCGTTGCTAATTATGCTCCCGAGATGAATATCCAAGGTGTCTCCCTTCACGCAATAATACATAAAATGTGTATTATATCTAGAAAAATTAAGTTTGCACATTAAAAGCAATTGACATGCATTTTGAAAGTTAACGGTTTTACTTCTAAGCTAGGAGACTCAATGTAAAAATAATGTGTGTGGTTTTTGTTTCTGGTGTACAATGGGGTCACTATTGAGGCTGGGTTATTCCGACTCAGTGGTGTAGATTTAGGTATGGAGGGTAGGGACATGTTTCTCCCAATATTGCTGGAGTACTGTGTGTGTCTAGGGGTTAGGCTAATTTCGCCCCTACCAAGTTTGAACCCAAACATATCCCCTTGTTCATACGTGAATGACTGTGGCAACATTTGAGATCCATTTCTCAGCTGTTCCTGACTAGTCAAGCAGGGTGCAAAGTTGCATTTATTTATGTTCTGTTCGTTGTTAAATAGCATGTTATACCGGTCTCAGAAAATAGTAGTTAATTTAATATTTTTGTAGCTGTTCCTGATATTTCACGGGATAGGCCCTTGAGACACGGTTTTGTGTGTGTGTGTGTTTTAAATCCTTCCTGTTGCAGGATTTTTTTTTCTCCACGCGTCCTGCCATTTAGCATAGCCTATTTCTGAAAAGAGGAAGTATCTTGATGTGATATTTTTGTAACATAACAAAGATCTGTAGACATGTGGTATGAGCAGAGGAAGTTCGTAACCGCAAAGCAACAAAGAGGTTTCCATACGCGCCTGCGAAGCTGGACCGAAAGACGCCTAGTGCTGAAGCGGAGTAACGACGAACCCGGCGCAGGGCACGTGAAGTTGAGACCGGCGAATTTGGGGGAGTTTGCTGAGAAACCGCCTCAGTGCCGCAAACGACATCCACCTTGGCCAACCATGATCAAAACACTTTCATCTTTTTTTCGCTTTACCATACTTACTATGTTTCCTTTTAGCTATAGGGAATAATCGTTTCACTCTTTTTAAAGAAAATCTGTTACATTGTAATATATTCCATTAACATAAGAAAAAAAAGTTTTAATGAGTTTTACAGTATTCAACTGTAATCCTCTTTTGCAGCTGCACAATGGAAAATATTTCGCTTTGAAAATAGATTTCTATTTTAAAATATTTCCTTCATCAGCATATTTCACCTGATTTTAAGTTGTTTCTAAACCTTTTGGGGCAACTATTTTGTGAAAAGCTGTATAAAAATAATACCCGAACGGATACTGAATGTGTGATTGTACATGAGGACGTCATCCATGTTATGTGGGTTTTCTCTACTCCAGTTTCCTCTTGCTGGTCAAAGACGTGCAGTTTTAGTGCTTCTTCGTGTCTAAATTTAAGTTAATGCATGATTGAATGTGTGTGGACTGCAGCAAACTAGCGTGCAGTCCAGTATCTCCACAAGTTCCTGGGGTAAGCTCCAGGCCCTTCTTAACCCTGTCCTGGATGCAGAAGACAGATGGACACATAATCACTGCACCATATTCAACATTATTTCAACCATTATGGAATTTCTTTGAATCTTTTCTGCATCTCAGACTGCTGTTTAATAAACCTACCCAAATAGCTCATTTGGATGAGTGTCAGATTGAAGACTGAAGGACTTCAGTTTGATCCTGGTTTCTCCATTTGGGATGCCGTGTGGCTCGGTTGGTTAGAGCTCCAAGTGCCTAATCGGAAGGTTGCCATTTCAAATCCCGTGGTGTGCAGTGTGATTTCACCATCAGGTGCTTTAGTGTGTCCCTTAACCTCTATTTCTGGCTACAGGGGTCTGTCTGAACCTGCTTTCTTAGTTCTGCATTGCTTTGGGTCAGGAACACAGCTGGAAATTCCCAGCCCCCTACTAAAATGTTATCTTGCCCTCCACCCACGCTTACATTATACAATTTTATGTACTCAGGGACCCCTGTAAAGTACAGGCCCCCCGAGTCTGCCAGGGTATCCATGCCCCATACCGCACCCCTGCTTTGGATAATAATAAACAAACAAACAAATGTGACAATTTAACATTCAAAGCTAAAGTAAATGCATTTTATGACACAAGAATCTTTGCCGACAGTGGGGCAGTCAACCGGCAGAGGTTTGGGAACACGCAGAGAAGTGGCCTTGGTGTGCCGCAAGCAGGGGGAGGACGTGGGCAGCGCGGGGCGGGGGGAATTTGCTAGGAATGTGAACCGAAAAAAAATGAAGCTCCATTACTGAGCTCCAGTCTCCCAGGCGTGTCGTGGGTCCAGGGCGTCCTCGGCATAAACACTGCGCAGAATGCAGTGGGCCCGGTTTCCATGACAAAACCGATATCCCAGCAACGTCGATTTGCAGAACTTCTGGTGTCAAGGGAAGACAGGCAGCTGGGTGGTTAAGGGGTGGCATTTGACTGACGATCTCCCCAAATCTAGGCTGCCGCACGTGGCGACATCAGAGAGTCTGATCCCCTGGACCCAGGACCCTCTGCAGCTGTGGATTTGTCATGAAGTCTATCTTTTTTAGCCTGGGGCAACGCATGGCGTTTAATGATGATGTTGATCCCACTGGCTGCATTCCCTTCTGGATCCATTATCTGGGTCCAGCGTTATTTTATTTATCTGTTTGTTTATATGTGTGTTTGTTTGTTGGTTTAATTGGGAGGGACAATATATGTTGATGCTATTGCTGTGCATATATCAGAGTTAGCCAAAAGTCCCTGGGTTCTTGGATGGAAAAATTGAATCTGAACAGGTAAACAATAAACATGCATCAAAGTACAGGCTGGATAAGAGTGTCTTTCAATGGTAGGTTAGTTTGTTCACTTTGCATGCAAAGGGAGTAACACCCAATATTTCTACGCATGGCTACATTCCATTGTGAAATATTACAGGTTATATATGTTTTAGTGACACATGACACGTGACATTTTGTGTTGATTGGGCAAAAAATGGTTTCCCCTTTATGCAAGGGATTAGTTCCCCATAGCAACTGAATTGCTGATTTCAATTCAACCATGGCTTCCCAGCCATTTGGTACTTCCCAAGGTCAGCATGCACTCTAGATCACCTCTTGCCCTTTTAACGTCTCCAAATATGTTTTGTGATGCTTCCCAATTTCTCTTATTGCCTGGATATTCACCTTTTAACTGCTGTGTCCAGACTGGGATGTTATCTGAAGATCGATCATGTCCTTCTGTTGACTTTACTTTCTTCTGTTTTCTTAATATTGACCATGCTTAATATTTGGTGAATCAATCAAATCAATCAGCTTTGCGATATATGTACACTGCTCAAAAAGAATGAAAGGAATACCTTTTAATCAGAGTATAGCATTAAGTCAATGAAACTTCTGGGATATCGATCTGGTCAGTTAAGTAGCAGAGGGGGTTGTTAATCAGTTTCAGCTGCTTTGGTGTTAATGAAATTAACAACAGGTGCACTAGAGGGGCAACAATGAGATGAAACAAGAATGGTTTAACAGGTGGAGGTCACAGACATTTTTCCCTCCTCATCTTTCTAACTATTCTTTCACTAGTTTTGCATTTGGCATCAGTGTCACTACTGGTAGCATGAAGCGATACTTGGACCCTACAGAAGTTGCACAGGTGGTCCATCTCCTCCAGGATGGTGCATCAATACGTGCCATTGACAGAAGATTTCCTGTATCTCCCAGCCCAGACTCAAGGATATGGAGGAGATTCCGGGAGACAGGCCGTTACTCTAGGAGAGCTGGACAGGGCTGTAGAAGGTCCTTAACCCATCAGCAGGACCGGTATCTGCTTCTTTGTGCAAGGAGGAACAGGATGAGCACTGCCAGAGCCCTACAGAATGACCTCCAGCCGGCCACCGGTGTGAATGCTTCTGACCAAACAACCAGAAACAGACTTCATGAGGGTGGCCTGAGGGCCTGACATCCTCTAGTGGGCCCTGTGCTCACTGCCTGGCACCGTGGAGCTCGATTGGCATTTGCCATAGAATACCAGAACTGGCAGGTCCGTCACTGGCGCCCTGTGCTATTCACAGATGAGAGCAGGACCCTGAGCACATGTGACAGACGTGAAAGGGTCTGGAGAAGCCATGGAGAACGTTATGCTGCCTGTAACATTGTTCAGCATGACCGGTTTGGTGGTGGGTCAGTGATGGCCTGGGGATGCATGTCCATAGAGGGACACAGACCTTCTACAGGCTAGACGACGGCACCTTGACTGCCATTGGGTATCGGGATGAAATCCTTGGACCCATTATCAGACCCTACGCTGGTGCAGTGGGTCCTGGGTTCCTCCTGGTGCACGACAATGCCCAGCCTCATGTGGTGAGAGTATGCAGGCAGTTCCTGGAGGATGAAGGAATTGATACCATTGACTGGCCCCCACACTCGCCTGACCTAAATGCAATAGAACTCTAGGACATTATGTTTTGGTCCATCTGATGCCACCAGGTTGCACCTCAGACTGTCCAGGAGCTCAGTGATGCCCTGGTCCAGATCTGGGAGGAGATCCCCCAGGACACCATCCGTCGTCTCATTAGGAGCAGCCCCGATGTTGTCAGGCATGCATACAAGCACGTGGGGGCCATACAAACTACTGAGTACGATTTTGAGTTGCTGCAATGAAATTTCGGCAAAATGCCACATCATTTTTTCACTTTGATTTTCGGGGTGTCTTT